CGACAGGGAGCCGCGGGCGGAGGAGCCCGGGGGGGCAGCAGCAGCAGCAGCAGCGGGGTGCCGCCGCTCCTGCTGGGCGCCGGGGGGGACAGGGACGGCCGCACCGCGCTAAAGCAGTGCGCCAAGTGGGCGGCCAGGGTGTGGGCTCACCGCCACGCCGGCGTGGCCGCAGGCGCCGCAGGCGCCGCCGGGGGAGGGGACGACGGCGAGGAGATCGTCAACAACCGCGTGTGCATGACCGCATCGCGAGCGCTGGCGGAGGCGCTGGAGGCGTTCGGGGTGGCGGCGGGGGAGCTCGAAGGGTGCCGTCTCGCGGCGGTGATACTGGAGTCCGAATCGGAGTCGAACGGGGGCAAGGAGGCTGCTCGGGGCCTGGCGGGGCTGATGCGGTCTCTCTCAGGGAGGCCGTTCTGCTCTGCCCTCGCCGGAGTGCTTCTGGAGAACATGCCCGAGCAGCATCAGGGCGGCGGCGGCGGCGTCGTGGAGGTGGAAAAGCTGAAGGCCTTGCTCCGACGGCAGGCTGCTGTTCCGATAAGGGTGGTGTCGGCCGGTGGTAGTCGCCGCGGCAGCAGGGCAAAGGTTCTGGGCGGCGGCGCAGGCAGCGCGATGCTGTTCGCGGACATGGACGCGGAAAACAACTAGGAATACATCCGAAGTAATTTTTTGTGTAGAGAAGGCGTGCCCGCAGCGTTCTGATCTGCCATTTTTTTATGTCAGCGTGGATCTTTTTTTTTTTGTTAGCCTTTGCGGTGCCATGTACTATGACGTTCTTGTTGGGCAAGGTATTTTTTTTCGGACCACGTGGATATCATCAAATGAGGTGGTTGTAGGAGAGCGGAAGCCCTAATTCTTAACGAGGGCAGCAGGCGTGAAAGGGTGTGTTTCGTGCAAGACTGGTTGAAAAATGAGTCCATCTCACAGACGCCCTCAGGCCTGGGGGGCTGGTAGGGGGTAGATGGATGCCACTCTCCTTTCTAGCTTTTGCGGCTGCGACTGGGCAGGTTGTGGGTTGGTAGGGCAGGGATAGCGAGCTCGAGAGACTGACAGGTGTGCTCTCACCGCCTTCTTCGCCGCCAATGTTGTAGTCTAGAGAGTCGTCAGAAGGTTTGCTCAACAAGAAGAGCAGTTTTTAAGTGTCTGTTTTCTTGACTGCTTCATGTGGAATGGAAACCGGGTTGTAAGAAGAAGTCGGGGGTCCGGAGGATGAAGGGCGAGGGTTCGTACGTTGTTTTATTCTGCCTACAGTATTTGTTGTTCGCAATAGAAGAGAGCGGGCGTTCGGGGGGAGAAGGCGGGGGAGTAATAGGGTGAGCGTTTTTGCGTGATTTGTATCGGGGGTGGGCTCTTCGAAGGCAGCAGATGCTCCTGCCATGCGCGGGGGGGGGGGTCACAAAATATATCGACCGCCATTGTGTATACTAGCGGTGTACGCTGTCGCCGAAAGGCAGCTGGGTAACAAGCAACACACACCAAACCAAACAACTGTTTTTTGTTTCAAAGAGGCCAAGATTTCGACATCATTGTTGACTTGGGAGGAGATGCCTCTGATTCTGGTGAGCCAGTCCTTCTCACGGCCAAACTTGCAAGGGAAGGCATTCACAGAGGCACCATACATTGTAGCGAGCGGGTGTCAACAGACACGTCCGACAAGCTGCCCCCAGGCGCATGTATCCCGTAAGCGCAACATGTATTTATTCATCAAAGTGGAGGAGGTGTTTTATGGGTGGCCTCAGATGGTTGCCCCTCAGTACATGTTGTCGAAGGCACAGAAAAGAGCGTGGGACGTACGGAAAATAGTTGTAGGTGGACACTGAGGGCGAGAAGAGTGGGCCGAATTTTGAAGAGCCGGTTGATTGAGAGGCCGCCCACAAAGCCAGCAGTAGGAGGTAAGCATTCTGTTGAAAGAGGTGTGCAGCAAATAATGAAAGGGGCTGGTGGCACCAAACCATTCTGTTTGGCATTTTTTCCCGTACAAACCATATAGCACCCTGCAAGACGATTTCACACACACCACATGGGCACAGAGCAGACATGAAATGAACACTTGAGCGCTCCTTCTATGGGGTTTTATCTCGTTTTGCATTCGTTGCGTGGGGCAGAGCCACTAACGAAACCCCCCCAGGAATAAAGAAGCAAAAGGTCACACACGCCGACAACCTTGACACTGCACTCCTTCTTCTACACGCCCACGGGCAAACAATCCAACAGCGTACAATGATAGCGTCGACTCGACATCGATCTGGACACAAAACGGCGGCGAAATACATACATTAGGACCGCGGACAATAATTCCAGTACTGCTTTCAAGACCGAACAAGCGCCAAAATTGGCTGAAACACACACCACGCATCAACACCTGTTTGGCGCAAATCTAGAATCAGTTGCCCGCACGAAAGCAAGACAGCTCCTCCTCGTTTCAAGACGAAATTACGGCCAGACAGGAAAAAAGCAAAAAACAACAGCCTCTCTTGGCACACAAAAAAAAAGCACACAAAAAGAAAGAGACCTCGATGAACCAAACATACAAATGAGAAAAAAAGAAAAAAAAGAAAAAAGCTCCCGAGTGACCTTCCTCTTGTGTGACCCCGGCTGAAACGTCAGGTGTATATACGCCGAACGGCCTGTAAACCGGCGCCAGAACAGAAGGAACGAGCACGCATACTTCTACTTCTACAACACATCCCCTTGGACTACCTGTGGCGTTGTTTCGGGCTTAAATTTTTAATGTGAAGACAACAACAACAACAACAACAACAACAACAACAACAACAACAACGCAGCCTCTCCCTGCTGTTGGCCCGAAGTTGTCACTCTCCTCTTAGAACAGACAAATCCAACGTTTTGCAGACCAGTGCATTTGTCAATCACGATCACTCACAATTCTGTCAACTAGTACGGAATGATTTGAGTATATATATTTCTGAAAAAAAATAACAAAATCACATAGATAGCGCGTAAGCACCTCCACTAAAATAGAAGGATGGAGTACCCATCAACCACAGCCCAACGCCAGCAAACACTTTTTCCCCGCTACGCATCTCGCCGGAACTCCCTACCGGTTGGTTTGGTGGTGGCCGAGTCATGCCCGTGTCTGTGATGAAGTACATATCTGGTATGTGATTGTCAAGCTCTGTTCTGCGCGAGCGAGTCCGCAAGTATATACGTTCATCTGGGTGCAAGCCCAATCGGGCCCGGCCTCCCCCCCGACGTAACAGAGCGAGTCCGCAAGTGTATACGTTCATCTGGGTGCAAGCCCAATCGGGCCCGGCCTCCCCCCCGACGTAACAGCTTCGCCTCTCACGTTCCACCAGCGTTCGGGCACATGATCCTGGTGACCCCCCCACCCTTGTCTGACCTCTATGAGGCTAATCAACGGTGCCCCTTCGAGTAGAACGGAATAACGGGGTCCTTCCGTTCGCGGTCAAAAGCCGAACAATTAACTCAAGCAACAATTGGGTACCTCACGAAAAAAATCAACTCAAGCAACAATTGAGTACGTCACCCCACAAGCCGAACGATCAACTCAAGCAACAATTGAGTACCTCACCCCACACGTCGAACAATTTTATCACCGCACCTGCCACACACATCCCCGTCCCCGCTTTTCCGTGAGCAACGTCCAGGCCTCGCAGGGTCTAAAAACTGAACCAAGCACAAGCTGTGCATGACCCCCCCCCTCCCCCCCTA